TGTAGAACTGAGCTTATATGACGTTTCAGCTGTAGAACTGAGCTTATATGACGTTTCATCTATAGAACTGACCTTATATGACGTTTCACCTATCGAACTGAACTTATATGACGTTTCATCTGTAGAACTGAATTTATATGACGTTTCACCTATCGAACTGAACTTATATGACGTTTCACCTATAGAAATGAATTTATATGACGTTTCAGCTGTAGAACTGAACTTATATGACGTTTCAGCTGTAGAACTGAACTCGTATGACGTTTCATCTATAGAACTGAACTTATATGACGTTTCACCTATAGAAATGAATTTATATGACGTTTCATCTTTATAACTGAGCTTGTATGACGTTTCAGCTGTAGAACTGAACTTATATGACGTTTCAGCTGTAGAATTGAACTTCAACATTGAGAACTGCATGTACCAGTTTGTGTGGGCTCATATGTTACTTCATGCTACAAGTTAATTTAACGTTATTAGTAAAGTGTGTTTTACTGCTTTACGTTACAGCGTTGATGGTTTCTTATATTGATTTTATTTATTGTTTTAAAAAATCCTACAAAATATCTTTTCATTATAATATAAAACCAATCTTTGACAGTTTTCAAATTTAACCGTGTAATTTACAGTTTTGACTTTTAACCTTGTGATATATATTGTTTGACCTGAATAAGGCCTTAATATAAAAGTCGAAAAGTTCAGTTAACCCAAAACTCTAGTTTTCCACACAACCTAAAATACCCTTGAAACAGTTTTGTGCTAGCTTTAATAAAATTACGTTTCTAATCTCTACTTTCTCATTATCCAAGTGCACGATGTCTAGAAGTCATCTCTAAAGAATTCTGAACAAAAGTAAACATTTTTTTTGCTCTAATTTTCAGACACCCTGTATAGTACTTTTTTTTAAAAAAATACAAGTCACAAGAGTAGATGGAATACCGCTGAGTGGCCACCAGGTTGCGCTAGTAAACTTATCGTTACACAAAAGCTGAAAAAAATGTTTTGTTTGCTCTCTTCGAGTTTTCAAAAAAGTTAAAAAAAACGACTTTGATACACTACCATCAAAGATGACCATCACACTGGCATGTCTGTATGTCGTTGTTGTTCCTGTAGTTGTGCGAGTGATCACTCAATGTTGTTGGTCAATTTAAAGTGGAAATAATAGAATTCTAGCGGGTTCGGTTGCCTACTGTGACCTTGAGCTTTAATTATAAAAACATTAAACTTTGACCTTGGTTTTCGTGGCCAGTTGCCGCCACATTTATGGTGAGAGAAAATTCGAAACAAGAAAGAGATTTGGTTTTTATTGTTGAACCTTGACCATTACTTATAACGACATTGAACTTTGATCTATGGCAGTGAACTTGAACCTTGTGGTTAACACTACCATATATTTATATGCCTCCAATGGTGTTCACAATAATACAGTGCCAACAAAGTTACAGGTACAAGATCTGCGTGACCAAGTAGTTGACCAATCTGTAAGATCCGCGGTATAAACCCTCCACTGACTTTTCTCTTTTTTTAGGGGGGTATAAATTCACAGTTATATATATATATTTTTTTTTTGTTGTTGTTGTTGCTACTGTTACTTTCACGTCCCGTATAAACTCTCCATTACTCAGTTGTTTTGTTTGATATAAATTATGTGTTTCTTTGTTGTTGCAGAACTTATAACGTTAAAAACTAGGTTTCGATACCCGCTGTGGGCAGAGCACAAATGACCCGATGTGTATCTGTTGTATACTATCCTAACAGAACATCTGTATTGAGACTTTACAGAGTATCTTCGTATTATACACCTGTA